GTGCGTTTCTATCAGTCTTCCTACCATTATGACCAAGTTGCGAAAACAAGGTCAAACAACTTCTGTATCTAAATAGTTTTATATTAACAAGATTATTTTTTATTTTATTATTTTCATTATCCATGCTTTTCTATACTAGGTGCCTGTCCCGTTCTTACACGCATAACATCTGGACTATCCTGGGAGATGTGTACCGGGCTGTGTGTTCTGGTTATTGCTGCTATCACAACAGGAGGGGGACTTGGTGGGGCCTACTATGTCTTCTATCTCTCGTCCTCAACCCTACTCGTTCTGGCTGTTGTCTTCTGCTTGGCTATCTTCAACAGCTATCCAACAGAGCCGGGAAAGCTGGGTAGGTTTGAAGTCAGCCAATAAGCAATCATTTGAGCCGCAATAAAATGGGCTAAGAGATTTAAAAATTTGATTACCTTAAAATTATAACAAAAAGTATATTAACTTTACTATTTTTAATCCCTATGTTATCCTGTTAATTAAATTATCTGATGTTAGGAGAACTTATCACTCCTGAAAATATTATTTTAATTGGGAATAATCACCTCCTTGCTAGATTAGGACTAAAGGCCGCATGGCGCCTACAGTAACAGGGTTTGTCTTTCATCAAGAAAGTCTAAAGATAAGTTACAAAATTTGCCACTTTCTGGTACTGGATGAACTTCAGAGAAGTAAACATATTTATAAGCATCATAGACTTCTAAGCCGTGATCCCATTCGCATGGCTCCCATTCAAGGTAGGGCAAATGTTTTTACTACCTTTGTTTTGAGTAATAAGGACTAAGGCCATATCGATGCCTAAAACGCACCAATCCGACTTTATAAAGAGCCAAAACATAATATGCTTACAAAATACATTACATAGTAAAGTTAATATATTGTAAGAAACTGAACTGCAAGGATATTACTAGAATTATGCATAATAGGCCATTTACTTGAATACAAAAACTGCAGTCTGCAAGTGGCTCTAGTTTTAAAATTAACCTGAAAAGAAGACTTAAAACTGACTAATGTTTGATGTAGGAGTAGTTTTATCTTGTTTTTCCAACATGGTCGTATTGTTGGGGAGACTTAGGCGAACGTATCTTGTTCAGGATCCTCTGAAATAGTATCCACAATAATTTTCAGCGTCCTACCGTGGACTCGGTAAATTCTCACAACTTTCATGGGCATCGTAGCTGGCATTATCAGAGAGCTTTTCCATTCTCAGCACCCAAGTAAAACTCATCATAAATTGGATTCATTGACCAACACCCTTCTGAACAACTGTCCTGGTATAGTAACGCATTATATATCTTTGTATCACCTTTTCTATCACAACTTTTAACCAGTTCATTCTAACATAGTCCAGGAGTGAGTTTTGAGCGAAATTAGTAAAAGATATTCATTCTACTCATTAGTTCCCTCATCACCACTACTGTGCTGGGAGTTTTTGCAGAATCTGTCTCTTTATGTGTAAGCATGCTTTCGAGATTATAAGCATATCTGGCATAAGAACTATGTTCGCTCTATTTTGTTTAAGCTGAAAAAGGTGCTAAGAATGGGAAAGCTCATTGGCGATGCAAACTAAGATGCCGGCGAAATTCCGGGAATACACCAAGTCCACGTTCTGATACTGGAAATTGTAATGGATACTATGGCAGAGGACTCCCGACAACCACTCCTATACAATGAATGTAGACCGTGAATATACTAAAGGCCACACTATCTTGATCTTCACACGTTCATTTAAAATATTTTATCTAAGCATTAAAATATTACTTACCGTTAAAGGCTTTTCAACAAGCAGAGCTAAAATAGTAATCGTTTCCAAATAGATAATTACTCAATAGATAACCAAATTTGATTAAATGCAGCACGCACAATGTTTAGATTTTCTACTGAGTCGGTGATCATGAGCGAATAATCTTTAATGGGAAATAAGAACTTTAGAACTTGATTGTGTTTAGGATGAGGCTAGAAGCAGCTGGAGCTCTTATTTATTTCAAAGTTTCAAACTTTATAGTCAGCAGCAAGACTAATTTTTTGTAAAGAGAATATGCAACACGAGAAGTAGAGAATATATTTTATGTTTAAAAGTAGGCTTTCTAGACCATTAGTAGAGCTGATATAATAACAACATTCAACCTATTTCGTTTGAGGTGATGAAGTAATGGTAGGTGAATTTTCCCACATTCTATGAGTAGGCCTCATGCTTACATTAAATTTCACATAGACTTGCTTCCCAAAAAGGCATAAAGAATATAAGCAAGCGATTTGAAGTCACTAAATTATTTTTTTAATTAAAATACTACAAACATTAAAGTAGATTCATATGATTCAGAAGCCAACCTAATTTCCAAATCTGCCTGATTAACTAATCACAGACGTCTTCTGAAATACTGTTTACTACCAAATGGCTAAATGTATTAACGAATTTTCCTAGACATTAAGACTTGTTATCTATCAGCAAACAACCAATATTTTTGAAACTCCAGTAAAGATAAGACCATACTCTATGCCAAAAGTTGATATTTTTGCCTCTGAGCACAAAAATGAGGCTAAAATGATGTACTGTAGGTATCTAAATTTCAAGTAACAATATGTTATATTGCTACTCACTATTTAGATACCTTAATTATGTAGATAAAGTCTACTGTCAATATTTATTAGATTCTCCATAAGATAAGCCACTTGAAATAAGATTTAAGATGTGTATTTATTTCTTACTGATAAAAGAGACCCAAAAGAACAGA